CTAGTCCCAGCTGTTCCTCTTCCAACCCAGCTCCCTGCTATGGCCTGGGAAAGCAGTGAGGGATGGCCCAAGTGCTTGGGGCCCTGCACCAGCTGATGCGAAGCCAGGAGCAAGGAGCTTCTTCCTGATCTTCCAAGCGGGTGAGGGGTCCAAGCACTTGGGCCATCTTCTACTGCTTTCCCAGGCCACAGCGGAGAAATGGATTGGAAGTGGAGCAGCCGGGACTCAACCCAGTGCCCATCAGGGCTGCCAGCACTGCAGACCAGGGCTTTAACCAGCTGCACACAGTGCCGGCCCTGCTTTCACTTCTTAAACAAGGCACAATAAGCCAAATTATAAAGGGAAGGATTGATAAATTTGTCTTACTAATTAAACTTTTCTGTATTAAAATGCTTGTAATCATTTTAATGGGACTTATTTATGCAGAAACCTGAAGAGTAGGACCAGGAGGTATTATTATCTTTATTGTAAAGGGCGGACAAGTGAGGCTAACAGACATTGACTGTTTCACGTCATACAGCTATAAAATAGCCAAATTATTTAAAAGATTTTGCTAGTTAAGAACAGAAAATTTAAAAATTAGATATACCTAACTTCATTACTGTAATATTAATATTTAAAATTTACATAATAATACACTTAGTAAAGATATAATAGACTTAGTAAAGAATAGCTACATTTGTAGTGTATGAGTAAATTAGTACCTACAATTTCTTTCATTTTTTCAAAAGGGAAAAACTTTAAAAAATCTTTATAAAAAAAGAGTTATTTATTTGAATTTCAAAATTACAAAGGAAAGACAGTGGGAGAGATCTTCCATCCACTGGTTCACTCCCCAGACGGCTGCAATGGCCAGGGCAGGGCTATACAGAAGCCAGGAGCTTCTTTCTGGGTCTCCCACGTGGGTAGCAATGGCCCAAATACTTGAGCCATCCTCTGCTGCTTTTCTCAGGCCATTAGCAGGGAGCAGGATTGGATGTGGAGCAGCTGAGACTGGAACTACCACCTATGCCGGATGCCAACATGCATGTGGCAGCTTTACCTACTATGCCACAATGCTGGCCCCTAAAAAATCTTGAGACTAGTTACTGAATAAGAATTTATCAGGTGCTAATGTTTATATATATATATTTCTTAATAAACCCTAGTATATTTGTGGTTATTTTGTGCTCTTGATATATTCTAGATATTAATCCTTTGTCAGGTAACTACTTTGTAAATATTTTCTCCCATTCTATCTGCTGTCTCTTCACCCCAATAAATTATTTCTTTTGCTCTGCTGAGGTTTCTGAATTTGATAAAATCCCTTGTCTAGTTTTGCTTTTGTTACCTGTGTTTTTTGAGTCTCATCCAAAAAAATCACTGCCTACACTATTGTCTTTTTAAAGACTGATTTATTTATTTGAAAGTCAGAGTTATAGAGAGAGAGGAAAGAGGGAAAGATGGGGCAGGATAAGAGAGAGAGAGCACATGCATGATCCATCTTCCATTTGCTGGTTCACTCCACAAACGGCCACAACAGCTGGGGCTGGGCCAGGCTGTACTCAGGAGCCTGGGACTCCCATCCAGGTCTACCAGATGAGTGAGGGGTCCGAGTACTTGGGCCATCTTCCTTTGCTTTCCCAGGCACTAGCATAGAGCTGGACTGGAAAGGGAATGGCCCAGGTGTGCATATGGGATGCCAGTGTCGCAGGCCATGGCTTAACCTGCTGTACCACAATGCCAGCCCCAACACACCAATGTTTTAAAGTGTGTCCCCTATATTTTCCTCTAGCAATTTCATAGTTTCATTTAGGCCTTCGATCCACCTTGATTTGATTGTTTTTTATATTGTAAAAGGTAGGGATCTAATTTTATTCTTTTATACATGTATATCCAGCTTTTTAAAGCACTATTTATTGATGACTATCCTTTCTCCAAAGTACATTCTTGATACATTCATCAAAAATCAGCTGGCTGGGGCCTGGTGTGGTGGTGCAGCAGATTAAGCCATCGCTTTTGACACTGGTATTCTGTAGCAGAGTACCAGTTCAAGTTCCAGCTGCTCCACTTCCAGTCCAGCCTCCTGCTAATGTATCTGGGAAGACAGCAGGATGATGGCCCAAATACTTGAGCTCCTGCCACCCATGTGGGAGTCCTGGATGGAGTTCCTGGATCCTGGCTTCAGCCTGGCCCCACACTGGCTGTTGTGGCCATTTGGGGAATGAACCAGTGGATGGAAATATCTGTGTATCTGTCATTTTACCTTTCAAATAAATAAATACTTTTAAATATCAGTTGTGTGTATGTAGATTAATTTGTGTTCTTTATTCTATTCCACTAATCTATGTGTCAGTGTTTATGCTAGTATCATGCTGTTTTAATTACTATAGCTTTGCAGTATGCTTTGAAATCAGGTCGTGTGACACCTCTGGCTTGATTTGTTTTTGGCTCAGGATTGCTTTGGCTATTCTGTGTCTTTTGTGGTTCCATGTGAATTTTAGGATTCTTTTTCCTATTTCTGTAAAGAGTATTAGTTGAAAAAATGCTCAAATTATCACTGTCTATCAAAGAAATACAAATGAAAACCACAGTAAGATATACCTCACCCCTGTTAGAACAGCTATGTAACAAATGTTGATAAGGATGTAGAGAGAGAGGCACTCTTATACGCTGGTTGGTTAGAATATAAATTAGCATCACTACCATAAAAAACAATGGAGAGATTTCTTAAAAGAGCTAGAAATAGAACTGTTTTAGGGTCTAGCAATCTCATTACTGGCTATATATCCAAAAGACATGAACTCATTGTATCAGAGATATCTGCTCTACCATGTTTACAGCAGTCCTGTTCGCAATAGCCAAAATACGGAATCAACCAAGGAACCCAGCATCAGATGAATACATACACAATGGTTATCCATCCATAAAAAAGAATGGAAGTGTGTCATTTGCATGGATGTAACTGGAGGACATCATGTTAAGTACAACAAGCCAGACACAGACAAATACAAACATGTCCTCCCTCATATGGGGAGCTAAACAAAACACCCCTTAATCTGAACACAGAATGATGATTTCTAGACACTGGAAGGTAGATAGAAGGAATCTGGAACAACAGCTACCAAATCAGAGTTAGACCAAAGGAGAAAGTTTCTAGTGTTACCTAGCATAGTGGAGGAGATTATAGTTCATAATCACTTAGCTTGTATTGTATGAATACATCAGAGAAAGAAGCTCCAAACTCCAATCTCAAAGCAATGTCAAAGAAGGGGAAATTCTGATTACCCTATTTTGATCAGTATACATGATATAAATGTATTAAAATATCACACTGTAGCCCATATATATCTGACTTATTGTTTATAAAAATGTAAAAAGGAAAAGGAAAAACTCCATGAATAGACAAATGGGTAAAGGAAAAGTAATAAATAAATACAATGTTAATTTCAGCCTTAAAAAGAAGAAATTTTGCTATATTAAAATCTTGAGGACATTATGCTAAGTGCAGTAAGCCTATCACAGACAGATAGCACTGTATGACTCCACTTGTATGAGGTATCTATTATAGTTTAATTTCCAGAATCAAAGAGTGGAATAGTAGCTGTCAGAAGCTGAGGAGAAGGGAAAATGGGAGTTGCTAATTAATGACTATAAACTTTCAGTTAAGCAAGATAAATAAATTTGAGTTAAATGCTATACAATATCATACCTGTCATTAACAATAATGTACTATACACTTGAAAATTTGTTGAGAGGGTAGATCTTAACGTTAAGTGTTCTTACTACAAAAACCAAAAAAAATACAAAAAAAAAAACACCCTTGTATACAAGTACATATATGAAGTGTATGTGATATGCTAAGTCACATTTAATTTTTAAATTAAAAGTTTTGCAAGGCAATCTTTTCTTTTAATGCTGCCATAGCAATATGAAGGCCTATCAAAGACTTTAAAGGATATCTGCCTCTTGTAAGAAAAATTTTAAATTATAAGATATATGTTTGTTTAAATGATGTGAAAAACTTAGTTTGCCTGACTGATGTGAAAAACTTCTCCCTAAGCACTTAAACAGATAATTACATTGATGACATCTTTACAGATACAGTTAAGAAGACAGCAGGTATCTTACCATCAATTATGATTATACAGACTCATTTTTAATTGAGAAATACTTCAGAATATTGACCTATATTAACAATACAATTCATTAACATCAATTTTTCTAGCTGTTCATTGACCAGCCCTTTAACAGATTTTATTGAAAAACATTCACAATGTTAAAACACACACACACACACAAAATAATAGAAAAGGAAGGAAGGAAGAAAAGAAGGAAATCTATTTGGTGCTAATACTGTCACTGGAAATGTAACCAAAGGCTGGAGAGGGAGGGTGCCTTGAAATCTTTCTGCTACATGAGGTTCTAAGAAATGTATCTGAGGTACACTGGCAGGGCAGTATGAAACGATTGTACTGCCACTGGCCATATTGTACCTGGTCTGTGGATAATTAGAGTCCTTCAGTTTCCAAAGCTGTCAATCTGGCACCTTTCACAGGCACTATATTCACTTTGAATAAAACAAAACAAAACAAAATTTATAATTTAAAGAATGAAAAAACTTAAAAATAAAACTTGCTGAAGCAACTTTACAGTCGTGATATAAAGCAAAAAATATCAAGAAAAGTGAAGCACCAGTGCTGTGTTTTAATTTTAAAATTCTTTGTTTGGATTTTATATCACAACTTAATAAAGTTCAAGCCAAAAAATTTATGTATTTTTGTTCCAAACAGGTAAACAATTAATATTTTAAATTTTTTCACCATACCAATGCTGAAAATTTTATATTACATTTCAGCATTTCAACAGGCTTATGAAACTATGACTTACTACAGATTCTATACATATGCAGTGTTATATCCTAAATTGCCTGAACGACTGATTAGAAAAAACAGGGAAAAGGCTATGTTTACAACTAAGAAAAAATAAATACAAATAAAATTCTCATATATGCACTATACCTGCAGCTGACCATTTAATGAACTCAAGTCTTCCGCTTTCTTCTCTAAAGACTGAACCCAGACTTTCCTTTTTTGTCGGCATCTTGAAGCTGCTGCTCTATTTCGCTCTAGAAACTTTCTCCTTTTCTCATCAGGATCTTCGTTAGCTGCTCTTCTTCGACGACCGCTTGTATTTTGGGTCTGTGGAGTTGTATGAGCTGGAGAGGCCTATAACAAACACAGATGGAAGCTTGTTATACTTGTATCTGCATTGAGTGAGCAAATTAACACAAGCAGTAAAGAGTGTTAAAGGGGGACAGATAAAATCTTTATTTTCTAAGTCTTGTTGAATATCAGTATTCTGGGGCAACATGAAAATCACACTGTGGTTTAACTCCTCCCTTGAAATAAATAAACCATGCTGTAATGAAATTCTCACTGACACAATGTCACAGTGAATATATTTATAAATGCATAACATTTTCATTTACATAAAAAAGGAAAATATAATACAAATGATTATGTATACATTTATCATTTTTCCAAGTGTATTAAAAATTTTTAAAGAAATCTACTTGAAGGCAGAGCGACAGACTGACAGCAACCTGGCATCTGATGGTTCTCTCTCCAATTGTCTGTGATGGGCCAAGAGCCAGAACCACAATGTAAGTCTCCCACATGGCTGGCACTTGAACTATCACTGTTGCCTCCTGGAGTCTGTACTGGTGGAAAGCTGGAATAAGGATCTGGTGCTGGATTTTGAACCCAGGCACTCTGGTGTGGGATGCATGTGTCTTAATGGCTAGGTAAAAATTGGCCTCAATGCTTATGTGCTAACTGACTTTAGCGTATCATTCAATCCTCTGAAAATTGATTATAAACTGATACATTTAAAATTTTATTTTCCTATTTAAACTCACGACAGGAAACCAAGTTTTCTATGCTATATTTGAAATAAAATATAGCTTATATTAAATCTCAATTTTATTCAAAAAGTGGTTTCTCTAAAATTAAAGAATGAATGTCTGTATATACTTTGCTGAACTTAGCTTTTACTTTAGCATTTGTAATTTAGGATCAGTGTTTTTCTAAAGTTTCTTGTAATTACTACTGATCATTTTCCTTGTAGGTGCAATCTTATAGGAGCCTCAATTTTCATTTTAATTGGTGCCCTGTCTCCCAATAGATGAGCCTGGTTATCTCAGATTAGTCAGTCATAAATCTTCAGTCATAAGTTATATTGTTCAGTGCACAGCACTATAGAACAGTGAGCATCTCCAAACCTCTGATAAACCCCCAAACTGTATCCAAAACATTTGAATATGGAACTGGAAATAATCTCTTAGAAATGACATAGAGGAAACACCACTTTGTGGGTATAGGCACATGATCCAAAGAAGAAGCTTGAAAACAATATTTTACCTATAATTAATTATATTTTAAAATAATATGAATAAAATTTTTCTCCCAATCCAAATAATATGTAAAAATTTTACATATAAGCCAAAGATAAGTTCTGTAGGTAAACTATCAAACTATTTTTCATTCTACAAACCCCCCAAAGTACATAAAAAGTTACCTAATTCATTTGCCCAAATAACTAGAATTAAAATTAAGGGGGTTATTTTATTTACAAAGTATTAGAAAGATATTTCAAAGGCTGATTTCAAGAGTTGTAATCTTGAGACCTAGAAAAACAACAAACCAAATCCAAAATTATTAGGAGCAAAGAAATAATTAAAATTAGAGAAGAAAAAAACAAAATTGAAACAAAAAATACAATAGATCAGTGAAATTAAGAGCTGTTTTTTTTAAAAAAAAACAAAAAACAAAAAAACAAAAAACCAAAATTGATACATTATTGGCTCAACTGATCAAAAAGGATAGAAAAAGATAATCCATGCTACCAGAAACCAAAAAAGAGGTGGTGTAGCCATCCTAATATCAGCAAAATAGACTAACACAAAAACTATTAAAAGAGACAAAGAAGGACACTATATAATGATTTAAAGGTTCAATTCAACAGGAAGATGTGACTATTATAAATGTATATGCACCTAATTACAGGGCACTTGGCTATTTAAAAGAATTGTTAAGGGAATTAAAGGGAAATACAGACTCAAAATCAATTGTAATGGGGGACTTCAATAACCCCTTTCAGCAATGGACAGATCACCAGACAGAATCAACAAGGAAACAACAGAGTTAACTGACACTATAAACCAAATAGACCCAGCAGATATGTAGAGCCTACAGCCACAGAGTTCACATTTTTTTCTCCAGTGCATGCAACTTTCTCTAGGATTGACCATATGCTAGGCCATAAAGTAAGTCTCAGCAAATTAAAAAAAACTGAAATCATACCATGCATCTTCTCAGATCACAATGCAATGAAGCTAGAAATCAACAAATAAGAATCTTTATATCATACGCAAACACATGGAGAATGAACAACATGTTTCTGAATGAAGAGTGGGTCATAGAAGAACTCAAAAGAGAAATTAAAAAATTTCTGGAAACAAATGAAGACGACAATACAACATACCAAAATTTGTGGGATACAGCAAAAGCAATGCTAAGAGGAAGGTTTACTGAAAAAAAACAAAAACAAAAACAAAACAAAACAACAAAAAAACTGACACACCATTGGTCCAAATAACCAAAAAAGAGAGAAGACCTAAATCAATAAAACTAGAGTTGAAAAAGAAAATGTTAACAACAGACATCACAGAAACAAACAAAAAAAATCATCAGAAACCACTACAAAGAGCTGTATGCCAATACTGGGAAACCTAGAAGAAATGGATAGATTCCTGGACACATACAAACCACCTAAAAAGACAGTGAAGACATAGAAAACCTAAACAGACCCATAACCAAGACAGAAATTGAATCAGTAATAAAGGCCCTCCCAACAAAGAAAAGCCCAGGACCAGATGGATTCACTGCTAAATTCTACCAGACATTTAAAGAATAACAAACTTCAATTCTCAATATTCAAAACAACAGAAAAGGAGGGAATCCCCCCAAATTCTTTCTAGGAAGCCAGCATCACCTTAATTCCGAAACCCGGAAAATATGCAACAGGGAAAGAGAAATACAGACCAATTGCCCTGATGAACATAGATGCAAAAATCCTCAATAAAATTCTGGCCAATCGAATCCAACTACACATCAGATCATTCACCCAGACCATGTGGGAAATATCCCGGGTATGCAGGGATTGTTCAACATTCAGAAATCAATGTGATACATCACATTAACAAATTGAAGAACAAAAACCATGTGATTATAAATAGGTGCAGAGAAAGCTTCTGACAAAATACAACACTGTTTCCTGATGAAAACTCTAAGCAAATTGGGTTTAGAAGGAACAATCCTCAATACAATCAAGGCAATTTATGACAAACCCATGGCCAGTATCATACTGAATTGGGAAAAGTTGGAAGCATTCCCAGCAAGATCCGGTACCAGACAGGGATGCCCACTCTCACCATTGCTATTCAATATAGTCCTGAAAGTTTTAGCCAGAGCCATTAGGCAAGAAAAAGAAATCAAAGGGATACAAATTGGGAAGGAGGAAGTCAAATTATCCTTATTTGCAGATGACATGATTCTATATATAGGAGATTCAAAAGACTCCACTAAGAGACTACTGGAACTCATATAAGAGTTTGGGAAAGTAGCAGGATATAAAGTCAATAAACAAAAATCAACAGCCTTTGTATACACAGACAATGCCATGGCTGAGAAAAACATTTAAGATTAATCCCATTCACAATAGCTACAAAAAGAAAAAAAAAATCAAATACCTTGGGATAAATTTAACCAAGGATGTCAAAGATCTCTATGATGAAAATTATAAAATATTAAAGGAAGAACTCGAAGCAGATACAAAAAAAAAATGGAAAAATCTTCCATGTTCATAAAAATGTCCATTAGTCCATAAGCAATTTATAGATTAAATGTGATACTAATAAAAATACCAAAGACATTTTTCTCAGAAATGGAAAAAATGATGCAGAAATTCATATGGAGGCACAAGAGACCTTGAATACCTAAAGCAATCTTATAAAACAAAAACAAAGCTGGAGGCATCACAATACCAGATTTCAAGACATACTACAAGGAAGTTATAATCAAAGCATATACCTGGTACAGGTATAAAAATAGATAGATAGACCAATGGAACAGAATAGAAACCCCAGAAATCAATCCAAACATCTACAACCAATTTATATTTGACCAAGGAGCTAAAACCAATACCTGGAGCAAAGGCAGTCTCTTCAACAAATGGTGCTGGGATAACTGGATTCCCACATGCAGAAGTATGAAGCAAGACCCCTACCCTACACCTTGCACAAAAATACACTCAACATGGATTAAGGATATAAATCTATGACCTGACACCATCAAATTAATTGAGAACATCGGGAAAACCCTGCAAGATATAGGCACAGGCAAAATATCCCTGGAAAAGATCCCAGAGGCACAGGCAGTCAAAGCAAAAATTCACAATTAGGATTGCTTCAAACTGAGAAGCTTTTTTTTTTTTTTTTTTGACAGGCAGAGTAGACAGTGAGAGAGACAGAGAGAAAGGTCTTCCTTTGCCGTTGGTTCACCTTCCAATGACCGCCGCGGCCGGCACACTGCGGCTGGCCCACCGCGCTGATCCAATGGCAGGAGCCAGGTACTTCTCCTGGTCTCCCATGCGGGTGCAGGGCCCAAGGACTTGGGCCATCCTCCACTGCACTCCCTGGCCACAGCAGAGAGCTGGCCTGGAAGAGGGGCAACAGGGACAGAATCTGGTGCCCCAATCAGGACTAGGTCCTGGTGTGCCGGCTCCACAAGGCGGAGGATTAGCCTAGTGAGCCGCGGTGCCGGCCAAACTGAGAAGCTTCTGTACTGCAAAAGAAACAGTCAAGAAAGTGAAGAGGCAACCAACAGAATGGGAGAAATATTTGCAAACTACTAAACTGATAAAAGATTAATAACCAGAATCTACAAAGAGATCTAGATAACTCCACAACACCAAAACAAACAACCCAGTTAAAAGTTGGGCAAAGGATTTAAACAGACATTTATCAAAAGAGGAAATCCAAATGGCCAACAGACACATGAAAAAATGTTCAGGTTCACTTGCTGTTAGGGAAATGCAAATCAAAACCACAATGAGGTTTCACTTCACCCCAGTTAGAAAGGCTTTCATACAGAAATTAACCAAAACAAATGCTGGTGAGGATGTGGGGAAAAAGGTACCCTAATCCACTGTTGGTGGGAATGCGAACTGGTAAAGCCATTATGGAAGTCAGTTTCGAGATTCCTCAGAAAACTGAATATTGCCCTACCGTACAACCCAGCCATCCCATTCCTTGGAATTTACCCAAAGGATATTAAATTGGCAAATAAAAGAGCTGTCTGTACCTTAATGTTTATTGCAGCTCAATTCACAATAACTAAGACATGGAATCAACCTAAATGCCCATCAATAGAAGACTGGATAAAGAAATTATGGGATATGTACTCTATAGAATACTATACAGCAGTAAAAAAAAAAAAAAAGAAAGAAAGAAATCTGGTCATTTGCAACAAAATGGAGGAATCTGGAAAACACCATGCTGAGTGAAATAAGCCAGTCCCAAAGGGACAAATATCATATGTTCTCCCTGATCGGTGACAACTATATGAGCACCTAAAAGGAAACCTGTTGAAGTGAAATGGACACTATGAAAAACAATGTCTTGATCAGCCCTTGTCCTGACTGTCAAGGAACAGCCTACTATTTGATTCCTTTTAGTATTTTTTTGTTCTACTTAATACCATTGGTTGAACTCTTTAATTAACATACAATTATTCTTAGGCCTTTAAAATGAACTGAAAAGTGATTCCTGCTAAATATAAGAGTGGGAATAAGAAAGGGAGGAGAATACAGTTCTGCACATGCTCACTCGGGACTTACCCCTAATGGTAGAGATAGAAACGTGCCAGGGAATTTCAATTCAATCTCATCAAGGAGGCATGTACCAATACCATCTTACTTGTTAAAGTGATCAGTTTAAGTTCACAATTAATCAAAAAGATAGGATTAAGTGTCAAAGGGATTATATAAATAAGACCAGTGTCTGCTAATAATAATTGATAGAATTAAAAAGGAGAGAATGATCCCACATGGGAAGCAGGATACACAGCAGACTCATAGAATGGCAAATGCCCTAAACAGCACTCTGGCCTCAGAATCAGCCCTTAAGGCATTCCGATCTGGCTAAAAAGCCCATTAGAGTTTCAAAGGCATGGAAAGCCAAAACATTGTAACAACAACAACAACAACAACAACAACAACAACAAACCCCACACACCAAAAAACACCTAAATCAATGATCTCTGTGAATGAGATCCCAGTGGGAAGACCAGGCCATCAAAGGAGGAGGTACCTTTCTCTGAAGGGAGGAGAGAACTTCCACTTTGAATAAGTAAGATCGGAGTTGGTGAACTCAAGAGGCTTCCATAGCCTTGGCAGTTCATGACAAGAGCCTCGGGTGATTACTGACGTCATAAATAAGAGTGTCAATTGTTAAATCAACAACTGGAGTCACTGTGCACCAGCTCCCCATGTAGGACCTCTGTCCTTAATGTGTTGTACTATGCAAATTAAGGGTAAAACTACTACTCAAACAGTACTCTATACTTTGTGTGTTTGTGTGGGTGCAATCTGTTGAAATCTTTACTTAGTATATACTAAATTGATCGTCTGAATATAAAGATAAATGAAAATGAATCTTGATGAAAAATGGGATGGGAGAAGGAGTGGGACATGGGAGGGTTACAGGTCAGAGGGAGGTTATGGGGGTAAAGGTGCTATAATTCAAAATTTGTACTTTGGAAATTTGTATTTATTAAATCAAAGTTGAAAAAAAAATAGTCCTGGGACCGATGTAGCAGAGAGGGTTAAACAGCCACCTATGATGCTGGCATCTCTACTGAAGCACTGGTTGGTGTCCTGGCTGCTCTGCTTCCAATCCAGTTCACCTGCTAATGCACCTAGGAAAGCAGCAGAAGATGGTTCAAGTATTTGGGACCATGCCATACATGTGGGAGACTGGAATTGTGTTCCGGGGTGCTAGCTTTAGTGTGGCCCAGCCCTGGCTATTGCAGTCATTTGGGGAGTGAACCAGTGGACGGAATATCTCTTTTTTCCCTTGGCTGCTTGTCTGTCATCCCGCCTTTCAAATAAATAAATCTTTAAAAAATATTATTTAAGGGGCCGGCGCCATGGCTCACTTGGTTAATCCTCCGCCTGCGGCGCCGGCATCCCATATGGGCGTTGGGTTCTAGTCCCAGTTGCTCCTCTTCCAGTCCAGCTCTCTGCTGTGGCCCGGGAAGGCAGTGGAGGATGGCCCAAGTGCTTGGGCCCCTGCACCCGCATGGGAGACCAGGAAAAACACCTGGCTCCTGGCTTCAGATCAGCGCAGCGTGCCGGCCGCAGTGACCATTTGGGGGGTGAACCAACGGAAGGAAGATCTTTCTCTCTCTCTCACTGTCTAACTCTGCCTGTCTAATAAAAAAATTATTTAAAATGAAAAAATCATACTTAGCTTGCAGACCATACAGAATCAGCCATGGGCTACACTTAGCTTCTGAACCACATTTTGCTCTCCCCTGAATTACAACAAAACAAACACACACACACACACACACACATTCTCTCTCTCTCTCACTCACTTTCCCTCTAAGTCAAGTTGATAACCACAATCACATTCCATTTTATCTTAAGTTCAGTAAAGATGAAATATGGTTAAATAACTATGCTTAGACAGCAATTTAAAAAATTACTGTTTACAGGTGTTTCATTAATTGCAAAGTTTTGGTCTTTTAATGCCAACGCTAATACTCTTTAAGCACAGAACACAGAAGGTCTACACAGAGTTCTGAAACATTTAACAGAAATATGGCAACCTTTGACTCTAGAAATATACTGAAGATACATAAAGCATCTATTAGGCAGTCACAAACTAGAGATACGTGACTAGGGTCTCTAGTAACACAGTTGCCATAAAAAGTCTCTCTGCTCAGTTGGTGATGGTTCACAGGTTTTAATTCACCACTTGACTTATGTCAGTTATGTAATGCAACATACAGATGTATGCACTTGTGTATGAATCTAAATACATTTCTCTAAACGATTTCTTATTACCTAGAAGTAAGTAAGGTAAGAGTACTTATATAAGTGGCTGGTGCTGTGGCATAGTGGGTAAAGCTGCCGCTGACAAGTGCCAGCATCCCATATGGGCGCCAGTTCGAGTCCTGGCTGCTCCACTTCTGATCCAGCTCTCTGCCATGGCCTGGGAAAGCAGCAGAAGATGGCTCAAGTCCCTGGGCCCCTGCACCCACATGGGAGACACAGGGGAAGCCCCTGGCTCTTGGCTTCAGATCAGCGCAGCTCTGACTGTTGTGGCCATCTGGGGAGTGATCCAGCAGATGGAAGGCCTCTCTCTCATTGCCTCTGCCTCTCTAACTCTGCCTTTCAAATATACTAAAGGAAAAAGGTCTGCTTCTTTCAGACATGTGAAACATTAGTTAATAGCTCTACACAATTTAATGGTCCTTCAAATACTAGAATATGATACGCCAGGTAATCATGAACATACAGCATTTCAGGAATCAGGCAAATCAATAATTGAAAAATATAGATCCAAAAAGATTCTTTAGAAATCTGTTTTGTTACCGGAAAAATAAATGACATATATTCCTGCAGAATACTGCATTCCTCAACAATATGAAAGAAACTATTACTGTCTATAACATTTACAGAACTTTTTTTTTTAAAGATTATTTATTTGAGAGGCAGTTACAGACAGAGGGAGAGACAGAGAGTGAGATCTTTCATTCACTGATTTACTCCCCAAATGGCCACAATGGCCAAGAGCTGGGCCAATCTGAAGCCAGGAGGCAGAAGTTTCCTCCAGGTCTCCCATGTGGGTCTAAGGGTCCAAGGACTTGGACCATCTTCCAATGCTTTCCCAGGCACATTAGCATGGAGTCGGATCGGAAAAGGAGCAGCCAGGACTCAAACTGGTACCCATATGGGATACCAGTACCGCAGGCAGAGACTTTGCCTACTTCACTACAGTGTTAGCCCCAAATTGACAGGACTTAATCCACTAAATTTTCCTATAGCTTGAACACTCTGTTTACACAGGAGCACAGTTCAAATCAAATCCATTTGTACTAACTATATCAAGGAAAATATCCAGAGCTAATGGTTTAGTTTATTTTTATTAAAAGTATGTAGATTTTGACAATAAAAGATTTTTCTAGTTATAGAAAACATTCCATAGAGAAAAGTCAAATCTAAATTTCCTCAATCAAGAAATGGAGAATTAAGTAAGTTTCTCAAAGTTGTATTCAGTTTCACTGTTCTATTATTAGCAGAAAAAATTGTTTTATTTAAAAATATTGTGTCAAGTCAGACCAACATGTACAGACACTCAAAGAAACATTTACAGGGTGTCTTGGATAGTAACAATTGCTCTTTTATTATTATTTATTTTTGTATCTATACTTGGACACTGAACTACTAACTATCGTTCCTTAGGACCCTGAGACACTTTGGGAGTAGTATGTCTCAGAAATAATTTTTTTCAAAGTATATAAAGAAGACATGTAAGTTGGATGACAGAGTACTTAGTGATAAAAAATAATATACATACCGGAGTTTCTGTTGTAGATGTGGCTGGCTGTTGCAACGACTGTGGTCGAGATTCCTCTGACTGAGTCCTAACCAATCCGCTACCATGACCTTTGACAGTATCACCATTGGTAACTGGAGGATGCTGCTGGGTCAAAGCCGCCTTTAATCTCTGAAATGCAAACATTAAAAAAAAAAAGTTCCTTACTTCACACCCAAATCCAACTCTCTACATAGTCTTGGGTTAACTATGCCTAGTACTGCCAGAGGAATCTTCTACTTTCTATTTGTAATCAGCTTTAACAGTAAAAACATAAAAACACCGTTAATGGAAAATAATTACCTTTGTTGAACTAAAGCAACAAGCTAATCATTAGCTTACTTTCACCTCTTCTCTTGCACTCCATTCCTGTATCTCACATCCAGAACTCATGCTCTGTCTACATTCTAAGACCTAAACCTCTCCATTATTTATTTATTTATTTATTTAATTTATTTTTTAATTAAAAAAATTTTTTTTAACAGGCAGAGTGGACAGTGAGAGAGAGAGAGACAGAGAGAAAGGTCTTCCTTTGCCATTGGTTCACCCTCCAATGGCCGCTGGGGCTGGCGCGCTGCGGCTGGCGCACCGCGCTGATCCGATGGCAAGAGCCAGGTGCTTCTTCTGGTCTCCCACGGGGTGCACAGCCCAAGTACTTGGGCCATCCTCCACTGCACTCCCTGGCCACAGCAGAGAGCTGGCCTGGAAGAGGGGCAACCGGGACAGAATCCGGCACTTCGACCGGGACTAGAACTTCTGAAGAGCACTTACAAATTTCAGTTTTAGTTTCCTCATCCACAAAAAAAGCAAAGCATCTGGCTTATTGTGAAGATCAAATGAACTATGTAAGGTATAAAGGCATATAGAGTAAAATATATACCTTTTGCTATTATAAATAGACAACTATACCTGTTCCACCATTAGTTTAGTTATACTCTTGAATACCCTGGAAAATCAAGTTCATTGGAAAGAAGGTACAAATCTACAAAGTGCTGTAGGTATTGACAACACAGTGGTAAAAAAAGACAGATATAGCTCCTGGCTTCAGTTTTCTCTCTCAATGCTGGTGATCATTTCTGAATGTTTTTAAATAGCCAGAGGTAAAAAAATGAAACTTTCTCTGGTTCCCATCTTGATGGAAAATAAGGACCTCTTTCTTCCTCTTTTAGAAAAAAGTCCTTCTGC